ATTCGATAACTAACTAACCCTATTTTCGTGATGTTTCCTTTCCTACCGTGATGTTCATATTTCAGAGCTGATCGGTCGATGTTGTGTATCGACTTGTTTGGAATAAATTCATTTGATCATTGGAGACTTTTAAATCTTTATATCAGCAAAAAATCAATATAAACGGTCGTATCTGAGTGAACACCGTCATATTTATTGAAGAGAAACAAATACTTTACAAACACATTGTCGACGCCATAGAATTCTTGATAAATAATCGATAATCGATTGGTTAATAATTATTGCGCTGAATTCGTCGTCCAGGAAGAATGGACGTATTTATAAAGGAGATAAAGCTCAGAAGTGAAAAAATCACGAAACTGGACTTGGGTAGTTATCGATCCCATTCAATATTAGAGAAGGTGTGAAATGCGAAGTAGGTGTCAGACTTTGCGAATCGCGCGATTAGCTAGCGATTGTTCATTGTTCACAAAGTCTGACAGTCAGATTTTTCTAATAGAATACAATCCTAATTTTACTGCATTTTTGCGTGCTTATTCTGCGAGCCAAGCTTATGAGAGGAAAGATCGAAAGGAAGAACCGTTTTTGAAATGCATGCAGATATTGTCATATTAAGCACACTGCAGGTTGGTGACGAAGCCGGCCGCCAACATCTTACGGGGGAATTTTCGGGTCACAACTTGGAGAACTGGCGGTGTCCCGGAAATTTCCTGGCTCCGTCACTAAGTCGCACTGCGCCAAACATTATTATTATTGCCTTTTAAGTACAATGAAAAGCTTTTAACCTGCGATTATTTGGCCTAAAGCATCTTAATACACGTACTATCGCTCGCTGCACGAGTTTCCTGCTAGAGGACGAGCTGCACGCTTGCAAAAGCGATTGTGAACATCTAAACATTCGCCTTGACCCAGCAATATTACACCTCCTAGAAAGCTCCTAGGATTATTAGGAATAGAAACTGGGTCGAAATATTCCGTGATCAGTCGGAATACGGAAATCAGAATTTAAAGGCAGTGAACGCGATCGCTGGGAGGCGGAGCTGAGGTTGAGGGTTGTCAGGTGAAAGAACTCTGGAAGACAGTGCGACCACTGGGTCTCCTTACAACACTGACCACTAAGATTTATGAACAGGCTCCGCCTCTACGCCATAGCACTCGCTGCCTTTAATTAGAGGTGAACTCCTCCCTACCCACAACATACATGTGGAACGATGGGGGACTTGAAGTGAAGGCAAAGTAACATTCAACAAACCAGTAAAATTTGAACAATAAATACAAATCAAAGTTGATCAGTGAGGCGAGAATGGCAAGAATCGAGCCGTGGTCGTCTCTTG